AAAAGAATGGCTGCGTTCAGCAGCCTCAACAGTTTTGCAACCGTTTTATGATTCTTTAATATAATTGGTCTTGCCCTTAGTTCCTCATTGGATCTAAATGTATAAACCAATCATATTTAAGAATTTTTCAGTTGCAAAGCTGCTTTCTCTGCTGAACGCAGCCAATTGTACTTTATAGCGTTTTCGGCCCGGCCAGTACCGGGATTCTCTAACTTCCTATCGACGATTATCGCTATCGTTAACTGTACTTATCGATAACTTTCGTTACGAGTAATTACGAGTGATTCTGTATCGAGCAGTTATCGATATTTCTCGTTAAATCGAATCGCTAAGTTCCGAAAATTGTCGTAACGTTAACGATGGACCCCGGAGGTCTCGTTAACCATTTAGCGATACTCGATAACCTATTAAGACTCCTAAGAAACGTTGAGTGTTGCATCAGCTTCTAATTTTTCTTATAAAATACGTACGTAAAACAATTATATCGATAAATAGATAATGAAAATTAAATATAAATAAAAAAATTTAATTTCAATTTAATTAAATAATTAATATTAAATTAATATTATATTGTTCTTTTTCATTTTAAATTTGCAGCATGCCGATTAAAATATCGGACAATACACTAATAAAAATATATTAATATCATACAGAAACGGATCTTTAGATCCAGTGAACTTGGAAAGTTGGAAACAGTTGAATAACCATAAATTTTTCATCATAGCCATAAACTTTTTTGAATAAAGATATCACACTTCAGCTCCATTTTCGTCCGTGTTCGTAAACTCTACGGAAAATTACTAGATTTTTACTAGAAAAAAAACTGCGACGTTGTCAAATTTACCAAATCGCTACCGAGTTTTGTCGATACGTCTGGAACGATTTTGCATCGATAAATATCGTTAAGGTAAAGTTACGGAATCACGCCATATCGACATCGTCGATAGTGCAAGCGATAAAAGTTGATAATTAACGACAGCGACAATCGTCGATAGGAAGTTAGAGAATCCCGGTACAGGTTTGCACCAACCTGAATTAGATTAATGGCATTTTGTGCTCTCCTATTGGTAGAGCGAATGACGTCAACCAATTGGAAAGATTAATCCAGCCCAGGTTGGTGCAAACCCGATCGGGCCGAAAACGCTATTAGAAAAAAGTTACAAACGTGCCTTAAGCTTAAAGATAACTTTACATGGCAACGTCAAGCGTGAGTGTCGAGCATTGTGAGCTTCCTATTCGTCAATTTTGATCACATGACCTGTTTTTTAGCGAATAATAAACTCATGATGCTCGACGCTTGCCGCTACAATATGGGATGCTTTCCATTTGATGACACAATAGTCGTTCGATCCTTTTTGACATTCAGAGGCTGTGATCAAAGTCTCGCTACAAATGCTTTGAAGCATCTGATGGACCAATTAGAAGAAAGAATTTTACAAACTGATCGATTAAAAAATGCTTCAAAACGTTTGTAGCATCGCGTTGACGCGATTTTTTGTGTGCGGCAACCCTAAAGGCCATTCTACATTGGTCGTATCGTAGACGTCGCAAGTCACAAGTTTGTTGCTTGAGCCAATCCGATGCTCCAATTTTAAAGTCGTATGATGCTTACGACGCTTCTAACGCTACGATACGACCAATGTAGAATAGCCTTAATGCTGGATTCACCCTGCATCCGATGTGCGTCGTACGACGCTCTGTTTCCAAGCAGAAAACAGGATTCCGATGGATTTTGCTTCGTATCACCAGAATCCTGTTTTCTGATTGGTTGCAGAGCGTCGTACGACGCAAATCGGATGCAGTGTGAATCCAGATTAAAGCTGGATTTTTATCTGACGCTAGACGCTCATTTTCAGCGTCAAAACAGGTACCGTGATCAAAATTGACGCTTGGTATTCGTCAATTTTGATCACGTGACCTGTTTTGATGCTGAAAATGAGCGTCTAGCGTCAAATAAAAATCCAGCCTAAGACCGATATTTTATGTGTCGTACCACAAGGCTTTTCAAGCCTGTTGATTGGCTGCAGGACAGAGAGATCCGAGAATCTCTCTGTCCTACAGCCAATCAATAGACTTGAAATATCGAGCTAATAAGCATCAGCGGACACACAATTGAATGAGCGCTCGTTGTTATTAGTGTTTTCTTTTAGATCATCCAATCAGTATTTTAGATCTAGAAGAATACAGCAATAGCAGCGAGTGCTCACTCAAGTATTGAAAAAGATGAACGCAGCCATTATTTTCTTACAGCTGAAGAAGACTCGGCGAAATTGAAATTTCATATTATAGATAAAAAGAAGGTAATTATTCAGTTTAGCTACCCCACCTCAAAAATCAATAAAAATAGGCTTATTCGATGCGTTATTGAATGAAATGAAAGAATCTGGCAAAAAAAAGTGTCGCTCTGCCCTGTGAGCCGAGATATTGAGCGTTAAAGTTCGAGATTTTAGAGGTTAAGATATCTGTCATTCCGACTCGCTGCAGCGCTACATATACGTAAGGTCTGTTCTTTTTCGAAGAATTCTGAAATAGTGCAATAAGTTAGA